CACACACATATACACACGTACACACACCCACCCTCACCCACACACACACACATACACACACACGTACACACACACGTCCTCACACACATACACACAGACTCACGCACACACACACACACACACACACACACACACACACGTACATACACAGGCTAATTGTAGAGAAAAACCCTCGCTCGTGGTGAAGCCGTTAGCAGAACCCACAGCCGTAGTCAATGAGAAAGAAAAACTAAACAAAAAACAGAAAAAAACAACCGATCAAAGCCAATGAAGTAATGGAAGTTTTCAAAAGAAATTGCTGAGGCTTAAGATTTCCCTCTCCCTGTTGAGATCCTAGGAGAAACACTGAAATCCCATTTTACAGGGTACTTGTTGACCGAGACTCTTATACCAGGTGCCCATTGCGGATGGGATCGGGTCGGGTTGGGTCGATCGCCCGACTTGTCGCCTTTAAAAAAACGGTTTTGTTTTTGATGCCACGAGACGGGGCTAAAACAGCACCTGGACATGGATGGCTGGTGCCTCTATAAAATAAATCATTGATGGTCAGGCCACGAGACGGGCGATCGGTTTGTGCCACGATAGCCGCTTTGTGCCCCCCATCAGGCTAGCAAACCGCTCCGATCGTGCCGATGGGTACCGGGTATAAGATTAGGAAACTGTGGGATTTTCGCTTGTGTTGAATGGGAGATGGTAGGTAGTCAGATTTTTAAAGGGTTCATCTGGGATACTAATAATGACCATTTCGGAGGAAGTTTTCATATTGACGGGGAGAGAAGTCTACACAAATCTTGCAGCGATCAAGCCACGAGAAAGAGATGGTGACAGAAGGAGGGGAAGAGAGGCGAAGGGAAAAGAAGAAAGAATAGAAGGAGGAGGCGGGCGGGGCAAAGTGAAATAACATGGTTGACAAATTAAGGCAAATAATGACAGTGAACAGGTTTTACTGATAAAGTAAATATCAGTGAGGGTCCACTAATGTAAAGTTAACTGATTTCTCAAGAAGTCAAGAGCTTTTCCATTGAGCTGTTCATTTCGTATGCATGATCTCAGAAACTATTATATAAGTCTATACTCATACAATACTCTAATAAAGAGAAGAGGATTATTTTAGTATGCCTCCAGCGACGGTGTCACCCCCCGGGGCGGTGCTACTGACTGAAGTGTCTTCAGGCCATTCCCAAAGGGGGGACATTAACCTGTTCTTATTCAAAGTAGAATTGTAACTGTAAAGGAACTGATTCATCAATGTCACGCTCATAACTGTGCCTGAACTGCAGCAGGGAACTGCTGCTTTTTCTTTCCTAATCCTTACTTTGTCATTTTCCTCTACTGCTTTTGTATGTTTGTCCCACTCTTGTGACCCTCTATTTCCGGGGTGCCTTGATAGTGGAAGCAGACTTTGTGCTGTTGACGCTAGAGAGGTGAGTAAAGTAAGCCGGATTTCCTGAAAGGACTTCTCTCTTGACATCCACCCCTTGGCGCTCATAATAAGACCGTAGGCAGTTGCGAGCGCCATAAAACCTGTACTAAAACTAACAAACCGGCGGTGCGCAAAGGCTGAACCACCCACCCGTCCCTTTCCGTGTTGGTTCTTGTTAACCTACACTCCCATTGACACAATACAGATCCCCCAGGAGACAGGCTGCCTTGACCTTGACCCTGACACTTGTCGGGGCCGACCCAGGCTGTGTGGAATACAACATCTATGGCAGACATACAGAGATCATCATCATCATCATCATCCAGTGCCAGATCTGCGACAGACATCGGCGATCATGGTTCTCCATTCATTCTTTTGCTCGGATGCTCTTAAAAAAAGCTACGTTATCCTAACCTTTCCCGTTACTCATCTGCTTAGGTTCTCTAAGTAGGTTGCTCTAGGCATTCTCTCGCCTCGTTTGCCTTCAATCGATAGAGATACTCGCTCAAATAAATTCCCCACACGATATTCGAACTCAAGTCTTCTGTCGAAGTTGGTAAGGAGCTTGACCGTCAACCCACATACGCAGGTCCTTAGTTAAGTATGTGTCATCTCTTTGACGTTCCTCCAATAGTCGAAACTTCGTCATGACGTCACAGGCTGCTACTGTAACAGCCACCTAGAACCTTAGCACGACAAGTGTCCTGTAAAATACGTTTTCGTGGCAGCGTCTGGATCTCCTTCATCGCACCTTTGTGTCAATCTGAGAGTCAAATAAACTGGCGCTGTGACGTCATGCAGGTGTTCGCTGGCTAAACGAAATGTGTGTGTGAGTGTATGTGTGTGTGTGTGAGTGTGTGTATGTGTCTGTGTGTGTGTGTGTGTGTGTGTGTGTGTGTGTGTGGGTGTGTGAGTGTATATGTGTGTGTGTTTATGTTTGTGTGAGTGTGTGTGTGTGTGCGTGTGTGAGTGCGAGAGAGAGAGAGAGAGAGAGA